CATTCGGGAGGCAGAGGCAGGCGGATCTCTGTGAGTTCGAGGCCAGCCTGGTCTACAAGAGCTAGTTCCAGGATAGGAACCAAAAAGCTACGGAGAAACCCTGTCTCGAAAATAAAATTAAAAAAAAAAAGACATAAAAGAAAACCAATCTATAGCCAAGGACAGAGCAGAGTCACTCACTTCCTTCCAAGCTGGTCACACACCGCCAGTACCCTCTAAAGACCCCATCACCCGTGACCCCCCCACATCCAAGAAACACCAACAAAAGTCAACTCAGTTGGCTGGAACAAAACATGGGGAGCTCTCCTCAGGCCTGAATGTTGCTGTCGGTAACAGGAGTTGAAAGGATCTTTTTTTCTTTTTCTAAGACAAGTTCTCACCATATAGCCCAGGCTGGCTTCAACCTCCAAATCCCCCTGCCTCGGGGCAGGTGAGATGGCTCAACAAGCAGAGGTGCTTCCCACCAAGACTGGCAGCCTGGGTTCACCCTTGAACTCGCATGGTGGAAGGAGAGCACCAGCTCCCGCAAGCTGTCCTCTGACGGCCACACGCCACACCACGTGTGTACAGACACACAAAGAAACAAATGCAGCTTAACGACCCCTCCACCTCTGTCCCTCAAACTCTGGGGTTACAGGTAACTTTCCTGGCCACCCCGCCCAGCAAAGCTGAACAGACCTTAAAGGCCATCTGGCCCTGATGCCTGGATGTAGCTCAGTGGGTAGAAAGCTTACCTAGTATTCCTGAAGCCCTAGGTTCCCTCCCAGGACCAAATAAGACAGAACACACAGGCTCAGGCCTGCAGTCCAGGACCTGGGAGGCTAAAGCAAGAGGATCGTGAGTTCAAGGCTGGCCTGAACCACATAATGAGGCTGGGTCGGGCCCAAAGGTTCCAAGCCAGCTTCTGGGAGACTAGACTCCAAAAAGACACTAGCTCCAAAAAGACACCAGCCTCAAAACCTCTGTCCTATAGCACTGATCACGGGTCTTGGGAGGGGCTTCTACTAGCTCCAGTGAGCAGCAGAGCAGAGCCCCAGGCCAGAGGTGAGATGTAGCACACACCAGTTACAACAGCCAGAAGACAAATCCTGCCTCTGCCATTTGGCCCAGAGCACACGGACAGTCACTAAATACAGAACCAAATGAATCATCACGTCCACTTCCTGCCATGAGGATCAAGGAAGAATGTATAGAAAAGTGCTCAGCATGCCTCTGTGCCTCAGTTTCCACAGCTGTGGAACAGACCATGATACCCCCTCGGAGGGTCCTGCCGAAAAGCAGATATGGAGATAGGCAGGTAACAATGCCTGCCTAGGCTCTGGCCTTCCCTATGCCTCTCCAGGTAGTGGCCCCCTTTAACCACGGGATCTGCATGCCGTGGCCAGGGTCCCTCCCATAGAGATGGCCTCCAGGGCATGGTTTGTCCTTTGCCTTCTACACTTGGACACAAGTCCACAAGCTCGATTACTGGCATGGTGAGGACCACATGGAGAAGTCAGGGGAGGCGGTGCTTCATCCTCGCCCCCAAAACAGTCCTCAACTGGAAGTGAGCACTAAGGACACCTGAGAACCCTCTCATGTGGCCTCGACGTCACAAACGCAGGTGCCACGCCAGTGTACCTACTGGCCTACTTCAGGAGCTTCTGGGGGCCTGGGGACCGCAGCCAGAGCACAGACAGGCATTGCATCCTCACCGATCGTGAAACAAGAATACAGGTTCCCACGGGAAAACGTTCACTGTATGTAATTAGGTTTAAAAAAATTAGTGAGCCATGAAATAGCAGGCACAATAAAACCACCGCTCTAAAAAAAACCATGCCGCCCGCTGCAGTGTGTGCCCAACAGATGCGAGACAACACACAGCACACGTGAAAGACTGGCCACAGCCTGTCATCTTCTGACTTAGCTGTGTTTCAGCAAGCGCAGTATGACCTACTGAAAGGAGGGGCGGAGGGAGTAGCAGATAAGGAGGAGAATGAAGTCAGAATGTTAAGAACGGATTCCTGGGAGGTGGGAGAGATGTGGCTCAGCAGGTAGAACATTCCCCTACAGGACAAAGCCCTGGGGACCACATAAATTGGGTGTGGTGACTCACTTCTGTAATCCCACCTAGGGAGGAGGATCAAAAGTCCAAGGTCATCCTTGGCTATAGAGTAAGTTTGAGGCTAGCCTGGGCTTCTAGAACCTGTAGGGAGGGAGGGAGGGAGGGAGGGAGGGAGGGAGGGAGGGGAGAGAAATCTGAGCAGCCACACTAGCTGTCCTCTGCTTGGCTTCCAGATTGCTGGTGTGACCTGCTGACTAAGGCTGAGGCTTGGGGAAGCAGAGCCTGCCCTTACTGGGAGCCTCCCCACTGCACAAGCCAGTGCTGAAGCCACATTCCAGGCACACTTCGGAGAGATGGGCTCTCCTCCCCAGCCTTGTTTACACCTAATGACACTGCTGGGTAGTTATCATCATTCCACTAAACTGATGAGGAACCAGGCCTTGGAGAGGTCCCCAGTTAAGTCAAATGTGCATGGCTGGTGAAGAGCTGAGGTTTAAAACTGGGTCCAGCGCCAAACAAGAGAAGATGCTCAAGGCAACAGGGCAAGCGTCCCCTAGGCTAACTCAGAACAGACGGCAGAGAGGCAGGACAGGATGATGGCTGAGAGTGAGGAGCCCGGCCCCTCATGTCCAAGCCATGGACCACTCTGAGTCATCCCGACCAGCCCAGCCAAGAACTAGAAATACTAGAACACACAGCCAGCTCATGGGGTCACTGGGTCACTTAGCCTCAGCATGATGTCCAGCGCTGCCCTGACATATGATCTGTCTGGGATCACTGAGTCTGAGCTAGGGAGTCATGTCCCCAGGACATAGTGGGTACACTGGGCAGGGGGTAGAGAGAAGGCACACCAGAAAGAGCCAGAAGAATGCAGTCGCCACAGTCCTAGTCCTGAGCTCTGCCTCTGGGAAGCAGATGGAGTAACAGCCAGACCCCAAGGAGCGGTACCCTTTCTTTAACCCAAACTGCTCCAGGAGAGCCCTGTCCGTCTGCCCAGGGGCTTCTCAATCTAGAAATTTCTTCCACCCTGCCCAGTCCTGTATGAATTTCCACTCATGCTCGGAGAAACTTCCTGTTACAGCCCTTCTGGTCACACCCCAGACCCCTGGACATCCATCCTTACTCTATTTCATCCTGTGTCCAAGACCCCTGACTGAAGTTCTCTACAGCTTAGTACCCTGCTGTGCCATGGGGATCCCAAACAGAGCAGACCCCAGGCAATACTGGGAATCATGCTGATCCGGTCCAGGCTAATCACAGAGGAGAGGTGCCCACAATACCGAGCTTGCTCACCCACTCCAAGCCAGGAAGAAACCCTAGGGGTCCACCCACTCAACATGAGCAATGAATGTGAAGGAGGCCTTCCCTGCCCTGCAAGGGCATCTATCTAAGCTGGAGATCTGGGGTCATCTGCCTGAGAATGAGCCTTCAACTCACACAGGGAGACAAAGGCTTCCTCTGTCACATAGGGAGAGCCAAGATTTCAACCCAGGGTTCCAGATGTCTTTAGCCATCAATTATTTCCCCCCCCCATGCAAACACACACACACACACACACACACACACACACACACACACGGTCTTTCTGTGACCCTGAGCATTGAAGGACTGTGATATCAGAAAGGATCAGCGGGTTAAGGCACCTGCAGGCAAACCTGAGGATCTGAGTTCAAACCCATTCCTGCAAGTGTCCGCTGACCTCCATTTGTGTACCGAGACACACAAACACATCCACACAAATACACATACACACTACATAAATTAATATAATAAAAAAATAAGTAGCCAGCCTGATTAAGTACCACTAACTGTGAGTTGAACTAGGTACAGCATGGGGGAGAAATCAGTGGTTCACTTTACAGAGGAAACCAGAGTCCAGAGGAATTTTGGCTTCCATGTTAGTGCTTGGGTGGGCTAAAACAAGGCCCCAGCATTCCAGCCCTTAGCCACTAGGGTGCCCTGTTTCCTGGGAGCTCCCAGGCACAAGGCACATAGAGTCCCCCAACGACAGCCACAAAGGGGAAATGTAACCAGGTGAGGTGGCTGTAACGCTAGCACTTGGGAGGCTGAGGCAGGAGGACTGCCGTTAGTAAAACAGAATAGGACCCTGTCTCAACCAAAAAATTTTAGAAAAATATAATTCTTTTTAAATGTGGCCTAAGGATGTAACTCAGTTGGCAGAGTGCTTGCCTGGCATGCACACAGCCCTGGGTTCACTCCCCACTACTAGGCACGGTGCCGCGTGCCCATAATCTCAAAGTTCGTGGCCATCTCTGCTACACAGTAAGTTCAAAGCCACCTTAGGCTATGGGAAAAATTATCTGCCCCCCTCCCACAAAAATAAAATGAAATATAAAACTGGCCAGCAAGATGGCGCAGCAAGTTTCTTTGTTGCTAAGCCTGATGACCTGAGTCCAATTAATTCCCTAGGACCTACAAGGCAGGAGAGATCTGACTCCCATCAGTTACCCTCTGACAACTATGTAACCATGGCACATGCACACAAATGCATGAGTACATACATGTCGCACACACACACACCCAAATAAATGTAAAAAGTTTAACTAAGGAAAAGGGTAAGAATGGGCCAGTATTAGCAGAGGTGGTCCACAGCAGCTGAGTTCCCATTGATAGCTCTGGGGGACTGAGTCTCCTCTTCCATTTTGCACAGGGACACAAAGATGCTGGGAGAGTCCCTGAGTCCACCAAGACCACTTGGGTAGTGAGAGGCCTTGGTGTGGGACTGGGGCCAGGCCTGCTTCCTGCCATGAAGCAGGCTCCCAGTCAAAAGGAAGAGAGCCACCCAAGCCTCAGCACTGACCTCATCTGGGCGAAGGGTCTTAATGAACTATGGCATTCTCCAGTCACAGTTCCACCCCGTCCCGCACGCCCCTGCTCTACTCCACTCTCTTCCCAGTGGGCAAAGCTACATACGATGAGCCACAAGTTCACTTACTCTGTCTGGGGCGGTACAGCGGCTGGGTCTAGGTCTGTGGGAAGAGCAAAGGAAGACAGCCTGTCAGACAGAGGCTGGCCCCAAGAGCTGAGTCTATTCCCGCCCCCTTCTTACCCCGCCCCACAAGGAACCAGGGTGCCCTTAGGATTCCCTGCCTTTCCTTAGGCCCCCACTCTGTTGAGTAAGCTCCCTACCTGTCCGGCCTGTCCCACACCGCCCCCACGGCCCAACCTCAGTCAGAACCAGTACCCTGCCTGCCAGGCTTCCACCAACCCCAGCTCAGGAAGTTCCTGCTGAGCCAGTCCCCAGTGTCTCCCAGATGACAGATCTGAGCGCCCAGCAGCTGGCATTTACTGACAACATGACTGGACCCTCCCACCCCCGGGGTGCTGGCTCCCCAAGCAGACAGATGGGCTCTCTGGAGCTGTGGCTTGGAAGGCTCCAAGAGCTCAGGGCTTGTGTCCCCAGCAGAAACTCAGGCCAAGCGATTCCATTAAGGCCCCGGCAGAGTGCAAGCCAGATGTTGTAGGAATGTTAGGAATCTCCTTTCCCAAGAGAAACGGGACACAGCCTCTTCCCAGTGGCTCCCTTTCCTGCTTACTGGGGAGCCTGAGCCTCTCCAGTTCACATGCCCGGCTGAGACTCTCCGAGACACCTCACCTGGGCCGGGGACAGTGTCGAAGCTGATCAGTGAGGGCTCTGCATCCCTCTCAGGGGCAAGGTCAGGAACAACCAAGTCTGTGCTGGTCCCCTCTTCATCATCACTGTCATCGAACTCAAAGGCTTCTCCGGAGTCCTCCTCCACCTCGGGGGAGGGGCCTGGGGCTTTGGAAGCCAGTGGATCTCCTGGAAGAGAGGAGGGGTTAGCAGGCTATTGGGCCTCAAAGAACAGGGTCTGGAGGCTGGATAGCAGTTCTGGAGACAAGGCTAAACGCTGCTCAAGGCCTTTGCAGCATTAGGGTCCTACTATGTTCCCAAAGCATCTTGGGCACTGGGTCAGGTCTCTGAGCAGAGGACAGTGGAGGCGTTACTTGACCATCTCTTCTCATAGTCTGTTGAGACAAGATCTCACTTTGTAGACTAGGCTGGCCTGGAACTCAGAGATCCACCCGCCTCTGTCTTCCAAGTGCCAGGATTAAAGGCACACGCCACCATGCCTGGCTGAGTTCCCAGTCCTTTTAAATACACGTGTAAAGAGGCCTGTTTCTGTGTGCTTGCATGCTGGTGTGTTCCGTGCAGGGGCAAGCGAGAGCAGGTAAACTGTAGGTCACGTAGGTCACGTGAAGCAGCCTCTTGGGAACGCAATGACTGGAAGGCAGATAGAGGACACCCAGGTGCTGGGGCAGGGCTGGAATAAGGTCTGAGACCCGAACTCCTAGTACAGAGGCCTCCAGCAGGGCCTGACTTCCTGTTTCTCCCCTCCTGGTGTGTTCTCGGTCCCCTTCCTCATTCTTCACAGCTCAGCTCAGCAGTCTCCCTAAGCACACTGTGGGTGCCTCCCTCTGCTCCCATCTCTTGCTTTTCTCACCCTGGCCTTGCATGGCCAGCACAGGCTTATTCAGTATGGCGTGTAATCCCTACCAGTTATGGATCCTAAATACCTGAGCAGACTGTGCCCTTTACTGTCAGGGCCTGACTGGCCAAGTTAGGGCTCGGAAGCTATAGTCTAATACTGAAGGACCGGGGTTTCCAACAGTGTACTCTGTGCACTCCTGACTCTGAGGGTCCTCCCGAGGCAGCTACATAGCTGGGAGCGGAATCTTATCCCTGCAAAGTCCTGTCACTCAACATCTCTGTGCCTCGGTTCCCTCCTCCATACAATGGAAAAGCAAAGCAGCACTCCCTAAGCCCGGCTGAAGGCCTCAAATGTTTCTCAGCCTCAGTGTAGCTGACACAGAGAAGGTGAATGTCATTATGGCATCCTTCCAGCACACTGTGGGGGCTCCACAGCATTTCCACTGCAGGACAGTAGCGCCCTACGGTTATAACCCCCCAAAGAATCTCCAAATATTACTGTGTGTTTGGAACACATCTCTACTAGTTGGGAGTTTCTGGGGCAGGTGTTGCCCCCAACACAGCACCAGTTATCTGAGGGCTCCAACTTGAATGACAGACTGTGGAGCCTGCCTGAGACCGCAGGGGACACGAGTGGTGGGGAGAAGGACAGAGCAGAAAGCAGGGTGGAGGGGCCAGCAGACGAACGGGCAGGCAGCCACGCCCAATTCCAACAGTCTCTCCTACCCTTGGAGGCCCCAGACATGACACTCAGGCACACATGTAGATGGGAGACCAGCTCTCTGGCTGGATGTGGTGGCTCACACCTGTCATCACAACGCTAGGGAAACTGAGGCAGGAGAACTAGATCTGAAGTCAGCCTGGGCTGCAGAGTAAGTAAGATGCTGCCTCAAAAGAAAAAAGAAAAGGGAGAGAAAAAGAAAGAGAGGAAGGGAGGGAGGGAGAGAAAGAGGGAGAGAGAGAGATGGAGCTAGAGGGATGATGGATGGATAGCTGGGCAGTTAATGCTTACAGAGGACCTGAGTTCAAGTCCCAGCACTCACATGCAGCTGCTCGCAACCACCGGGGCTCCAATGCTTCCTCCTGGCTTCCAAAGACACAGACATAGGCACACACACTCACATACACAGAAAAATCAGTCTTTTTCGCAAAGCACTAACGGAATCAGAAAAATAACTTGGAAATGAGTAAAGGCAATTGCAGCCCAAAGTCGGCATCCTACGACTTCTGCTCCACACAGGAACCCACATAAAGGAGGTAGAAGAGTCACCACTCTGAGTGTTGTCCTCTGACCTCCACAGGCACATGTCACACACACACACATGCGCACCCACACACACATAATAATTTTTTTAATAAATCAGATATTGGCTGGAGAGATGGCTCAGAGGTTAAAAGCACTGGCTGCCCTTCTACAAGTCCTGAGTTCAATTCCCAGCACCCACATGGTGGCTCACAACCATCTGTAATGAGATTTCATGCCCTCTTCTGTTGTACAGGCATACATACAGGCAGAACACTGTATACATAATAATAAATAAGTAAATAAATAAAAGAAATAAAATATAGCCTGGTGGTAGTGGCATATCCTCCAGTACTCAGGAGGCAGAGGCAGGTGCATCTCTGTGAGTTTGAGGCCAGCTCAGTCTACGAAGTAAGATCCAGGACAGCCAGATCCATTACACAGAGAAATCTTGTCTTAACAAAAGCAAAAAAAAAATCATATCCAAACTCTAAAAAAAATATAATTATTTTAATTTATAATATCTAAAAGTATGTCATTTCAGATATTTAAATATATATAATTATTATGCAGAGATGTTTATAGACCACATTTGGAGTTGGACAGTGGTAGCTCACACCTTTAATCCCAGCACTTAGGAGGCAGAAGCAGGTGGATCTCTGTGAGCTCAAGGTCTGCCTGGACTACAGAATGAATTATAAGACATCTAGGGCTATACAGAAAAACCCTGTCTCGAAAAACAAACAAACAAATTAAAAAGAAAGAAAACCACATTTGGTAATACAATACCAAATATTATCCATTCAGTATGGGTTGAAACTTTCAGATATTTTAAAGCTTTATTTTAACAAAATAAGATTAGGCACAAATTTTTTTTTTTTTTTTTTTTTTTTTTTTTTTTTTTTTTTTTTTTTGGTTTTTCAAGACAGGGTTTCTCTGTAGCTTTAGAGCCTTTCCTGGAGCTAGCTCTTGTAGACCAGGCTGGCCTCAAGAGGCACAATTTTAACCTGTTTATTTGCACATGTGTGTATGTATGTAGGTGCTCACGTGCCAGTCAGAGGCTAACACACGGGAGTCCTCTCCTTCAGCCACACGGGTCCCAGGGGCAAACTCGGGTCACTAGTCTTGGCAGCAAGAGCCTTTACCCACCAGCTGAGCCACCTCACCAGCCTACATCAAGTACAATTTGGTTCTGGTTTTGACTATGGTATTAATTATATGCACGGTGTGTACATATGTGTCTGTATACGTGAATACATACACATGTATGAACATGCATGTGTGTACAGAACCATTTTCTCGATCTTTCCAGCCACACTGTTCTTGCTGGTACAATAATGCGCTCAGTACCTTCTGCCTCGGGACCTTTGCACTGGCTCCTGCGGGGCCTAAGATGTTCTTTCCTCTTTTATCTTCTCCTGCTCCCCTCCTCGAGCTGCTCTCTGCCACTGGCCAGTGGGGCTGCCGTGGAGACCCTGGGACTCCCTGTGGTTTGTTTTTTGGAGACACGGTCGCATTTAGCCCAAGCTAGTCTCAATCTCACTAAGTAGCCTAGGAAGACCTAGAACTTCTGATCCTCCTGCCTCCGGCACACTGTGGTGGGAGGGAGTGCTGAGATTTGAGACATATACGCCATCACACCCAGCTCTCAAAGTAATTTTTTAGTCCCAAGTAAATGACCACAGAGTCCCTGCCTGCCTTGCCACAGGGCCATCCTGCTTCGTGGATGTCTAACCTCTCAGTGTCCTGTCTTCGCTCTGATGATTCTCTACACATATGGCAGGTGTCACCACAGTGACTAAGGTCTTAGGGCTCCACTCAGCCCTGACATCAGCCGTAGGGTGAGCATGGCAATACCTGATCATCCAGTTTACTTGGTTTCTGCAATCAAAATGGGGTCACGGGCCTACCTGGCTCCCAGGGCTGATGAGGAAAGACAGGTTAGCGCTGAGACTCCTGGTGTGAGGGCTGAGCTCAGTCACTACCAGCTAGTCACATGACAATGATGCCGGGTATATTATTGTCATTCATCACATCATATTCTCCTGGCTCTACCATGGTCATTACTATTATTACAGCCCTGTCTAAGCCCCATCCATGTCCCTGGCTAACATGAGCTGTCCCTTCCAACTCACAGGCCAGCCCCTGTCACACTGACTCCCCATGGAGTATTGGGGACCCAGATCACTTCTGCACTTCCTTCCTTGAAGAATATAAAGAGCTCCAGCTATTCCCATCTGTGTCACCATGAGTCCAATCAGCTGCTCCTGGCAACCCTGAGTCAGAGATTGTGGCAAAGTTAAGACGCTAGCTGAAATCTTAGCACTCACAGAGGACCTTGGGTGGGGAAGGATGCACTAGGAGAAACAAGGTCATGCCCAAAGAGGAGTCAGCTAGTGCTTACCAGGCCTTGGAAAGGACCATGCATAAGACTACCCTCGGAAGATGAAGAATCATGTGACATGTTTGCATGGGGAGTGGATGTGGTTCGCAGGTGCAGCACGAGTCAGTGACCCAAAGCAAGTGACCCCCAGGACACCGCAGACATGAACCATGGGGGGGGAGGTCAGGATGGGCCAGGTATCTGAGGGCATCCCTTCCTCGGGAACTAAAAACCAGACACAGACAAGGGACCAGTCCAAGGTCACAGGAGAGCCTAGAGGCAGCTGTCAGTCAAAACCTTAAAACAGAGGCTCTGTGCGGGTCTGCTCTGCTTTCATTCGTACTTCCCAAATGGCCTCCTTCAGGGTAGAAGAAAGAGAGCCAGGGACCCACAGCAGGAGCCAGAGGGACCCAAGGCCCCTGGCACAGAAAAGATCCTCTCCCCCAGACAACCCCACGCTGTTCCGCATCAGAGGTGATTGTATCAGCCAATGGTGATTGGACGCCCAACCGAACTTCCCAACCATCATGACAGGTGTCAGTCACTCATGCCCTTGACAGGTACACCCAGGCCTCAAGAGAGCCAACCTAAGTGAGTCTACCAGGCAGAACACTGAGAAGCCATATTGCTACTAGAAAGCAGTCCGCTGGGCAGAACCACAAACTAGTGGATTCCTTGTACTTCACAAGGGAACATTCCAGAGTGTAAGAGACCCATCTTCGGGCCCCACCAGGGCATAGGCACTCAAAAGCGACCCACGCAGGTTTGCCACGCCCTTCAGTGACACACACTCCCGTTCAGTGAGCACTGGTTGCCACACACACTTCTTTATGTATGTTTAAAACCTTGCAACAGCACAGAAGAGGGTGTCATTATTATTACCCCACGTTTAAGGACAAGGACACTGAGCTGTAGAGACACCAAGTCCCATCACTGAGCTTACAGTGTAAGTGGTGGCAGGGTCAGGATCCAAACTCAGACCAGGTCAGTAATGGAGGGGCTCTGGCTGGTAGCAGATTTATTCTCTTCCCTCTCTGGAGAGTTGGGGAGGGGGGCAGAGGGAGACAAGAAGACAGGGAGCTGGGCTTGTGGGTAAGACAACCATAGATGCCACTCTGCGGTATCTGGGGCCCCACTGAAGGGGATGCCAAATAAAACACAGGAAGCTGGGTTGAATTCTAGATCAACAAGTGGTTTTGTTGGGTAAATACATTCCTTTTGTTTCCCCTTCTTTTCATAAATTAGTCAAGGCTGAGATACCTCTGTGATCCGTCCTTATAGTCAAACCCTTTCCTTCAATCCCCATTTGCACCTGCAACTGACCCACCTCAGCCCCCAGTGTCTCTCAGTCCCAGGCCCCAAACTGTCCGTCTCTGCAAGGGATCTTGGGTGAACAGCTTGGGTAAACATCAGGAAATGCCTGGCATTTACTCTAAAGACAGGACTCCATCTTGTGGGTAGGGAACCTGAAGCAGATGGAGACACAGGGCACACAGCCAGCAGAACACAGTCTGCCCAAAGCCAGCACAGCTCACCCAGTGCCCCCGGGCCCCTGGGGTACAGTACCTACGGCAGGCTGTGCAGGAGGGCTCGAGGAAGCCATCAGAGTCCAGCTCACGCTAGCACCGTCCTCGCTGCTCGCCTGTGGAAAGAAGGCCAGAGACTCGGTCAGATAACCACCACAGCAAGGGAGCCTGGCTTGGAAGTCGTACTCCGGCCCAGCCCCGCTCACACTCTTCCCGGCAGCCCCAGATAAGCCCAGCCTCCACCCAGCATAAATCATTAACTTACAGAAAAACCTGCAGCTGCAAAGCAGAATAGCCCCATCGCCCCAGAATCCACCACAGCCACAGTATGCCTTAGCCCACTGTCAAGGGGCCCATAAGAGCCTGTGGGCCACTCTAGAGGGTCCCTCCCACATCCTCTAGCCCAGGCCTGGAGTCACACTTGAGCCACCAAGGTCCCAAGTTCCAGAAACCATATTACCCTGGACTGGAATATCACGGACAAGTCTGGACACTTCCTCCTCATGGGGTCCCCATCATCACAGGTTCCCATGGGTCTAACGTCTCACCGGACCCCTCCTGAAACCTGCTAAAAAGCTACTCTCTCTCTTCATCTCTCACTGGCCTGCCCTATGATGTTGTCCTGCTGGCAAGTAACCACCAGCCTAGGAATACAGCTGCAGAGCTACAGGGCAAAGGGCTACAGAGAGGTAGATGGCCCAGGATGCGGACAGAATCCAAAATGCCCAGGAGGCAGAGGCCACTCCTATCTCATGGAGCTCACACATACAGCAGGGCCAAGCACAAAGGGAAGGTTCCCCGGGCTTGGAGCAACCTTGCCTGGTGTCCCTTACAGAGCAGGGAGATGTACCCTGAACCTCTGATCTGGTAGCTGCCCTTCTAGATCCCCCTACAGGGAGGGACTCAGGTCTGAAGAAGGAGCAGAGAACTCTGTCCAGTCCGGCCCTGTCACCAGCTGGCTGGGGATTGTTTTCCTTTCATTTCTACTAATGAACTGACCGAATGAAAACGGAATGTGCAAGGATGACAACAACAACAACAACAAAAAAAACGATGACAGTGACATTCACGGAGCGCCTCCTGTTCGGAGGTCACTCGAGGCCCATAGCAAGCCCTGTGGAGAAAATGAGGTCCGGAGTGTGCCTGCAACTCGCCCACGATCACACAGTTAGGAAGGCACAGATTCAAACCAACGACAGATATGTCTGTGCTCCTTGAGGAATCTGTATGGGGCTGGAGAAACGGCTCAGTGGTCGAGAGCGCTGGTTGCTCTTGCAGAGAACCCGGGTTTGCTTTTCTGCATCCACATGGTAGCTCACAACTGTCTGTAATTCCAGTTCTAGGGGATCTGATGTCCGCTTCTGGATTCTGTGGGCACCAGGCACATACGTGCACAAGTATCCCAGCACTCAGAAAGCAGAAGCAGGCAGGTCTCCATGAGTTCGAGGCCAGGCTGATCTACAGAGCAAGTTCTAGGACAGCCAGGGATACAGAAAGAAACCCTGTCTCAAAAAACAAAACACAAAGACAAAAAAATAAAAAAATGAAACGACTTCTAGAGCAATCTAACATATTCACCTGCTGCCACAAGTTTATTCCGCTGTCCCCTCCCCACTTACTCATGATGCTGTCTTCTAGTTCAGCCACCCCAAGTCAAGCATGTCACCATGGCTCTGCCGTTGTTCCCTGGACCACAGCCCAATGCTCTACTGCAGACCCACATCTCCTGCCTCACTCCATCTCATCACGGGGGCACTGGGCATCTCCCTTCACTACCAGAGGGGGCGCAGGATGCCATGAAGGAACAGAGGGATGGGAGCCTACCTTCACCTAACCGTAGCTTTTATTCAGAGGACTGCCACCGCTGTTCAACCTCCTCACTGCTTGTCATCACTAGCGTGTTATGCTGTCTGGGGTCTGAGCTTCATGCCAGGCCTGCTTCCAAAGCATGCACAGCATCGGGTACTACTGGGGATGTCAGGTGTCATGGGGATCTTGGAGGCATAGTCCCTGCACCCACGGGGCCACTGTACACCTCTCAATCTGTTCACAGGGAAGCACACAGACCCCTGCACCGTCACTGTTTGGTTTCGGTTACATCCTTGTTGATTTCAGAACAGTGCATGCTTGCGGAAATGGGTTTGTTTGCTTTCTGACACTGGGTATAGAACCCAGGGCCTTGTATGTGACCCCTGTTATCACTGTTATCACAGCTTGGTTTTGGTTTTGGTTTAATTCTTATTGATTTCAGAACAGTGCATGCGGAAACGGGTTTGTTTGCTTTCTGACACTGGGTATAGAACCCAGGGGCTCACAGGTGCTAGACAAGTACTCTGCCACCGTGCCACCTGCCCAGCTCAAGACTCACTTGAAATAAACATTACTTTAATTATGTGTATGTGTGTCCCCAGCAATCTTATCTTCCCCCACCCCCACCCAAACACACACACACACACACAGAGTGCTGGAGTTAGTTATAGGCAAGTCTATGGCCACATCTGGCTTTGTACGGCACCCCCACCCCGACACACACAGATTGCTGGAGTTACAGGCAAGCCCGTGGCCACACCTAGCTTTGTATGGCACCCCCCACCCCACCCGACACACACACAGAGTGATGGAGTTATAGGCAAGCCCGTGGCCACATCTGGCTTTATACAGCACCCCCACCTGACACACACAGAGTGCTGGAGTTACAGGCAAGTCAGTGGCCACATCTGGCTTTGTATGGCACTGAAGACTTGAACTCAGGACCTCATGCTCGCACAGCAAGTGCTCTGACACACTGAGCCATTTCCCAGCCCAACCTCCCTTCTCCAACAGCACACAGCAGCGCTGGACTCGCCCTAGACAGCCCTCCAATCCACTCAATAGTCATAATCGCCCCAGGCTGCACAGGCAGAAGCTGCCCTAGTCTCTTGGTGTTATGAACAAGTCGGCATTAAACATCGTCTTCCCTGCCCTGACCCCAGCTGGGCCTTGGGGAGATGAGTTCACAGCCTTCAGGGTTCATCCCTAAAAACACAAGTCTATAAAGATAAATACCCAGGAAGGGACTGATGTCACCCCATTGGCAAACTGAAGATACCCGTAAAGCCACATAGCTGTCCTGCAGGACTCCTGGTGGGTTCGACCCCTCAGCTCTCCCTTGTGAGCGCTGGGACCCAAAGGCAGGAGAACAAATGCCCATTTCACAGGAAGAAAAACAAAGGCATCATCACCCAGCCTCACAAAGATGGCTTGATAGTGTCAGCAGAGACCTTCCTCTCCAGGCTCAGAATTCCCACATCCTCCCCTCCGGCTCATCCTTCGGGGCCTAAGTTTCTCTAGACAGGAATGCACACATCAGTACGTATGGAACAGAAACTTTTCTATAGTGTTTTCCATATAAGTCCCTCACCATCCCATCTTTTACAGAGAAGACAGGTCAGAGAGGTTAAGGATTTGCCCAAGGTTACACAGCCAAGGGGAGCAACTGGCAGAGCAGGACACAGTATGGGGCTCTGATGCCAGGCCCCTGCTAAACTGCTACCCTGGACGTCAGGACTGGACTCTGGAAGCACCTGATCCAGGCTGAGTGGCATCCCTGGAAACTCCTCCGGGCAAGGACACCCACAGGCCTATGGCTGCCACTTCCCAAAGCCATTAGTCTCCAAAGGATATGGGGGCTGCCTCAAAGCTCCCCACAGCCCCCTTCTACAGGCCCTAGTGGGCAACAAGAAAGACAGGGGACACAGGTGGAACTTTCAAAGAGGAATCAGGGACACCGGTCCCTACTAGTCGGTCTTCCTTTTGCTAACACATAAGACACAGGCTGTGACAATCAGTTTGTTTCAGAGTTGGGACCCAAGCTAGAGTCCCATGTGACCACAGACAGCTCAGCTCAGCAGAGCCCTGGTGTCCACATCTATAAAATGGGGATCTAGGACCTCTCCCACAGGATTTTGTGCAGGACGGCTGAGGTCAACCAGAACACACCTGTCCCCAGACAGTCACCCCACAATGAGAGGCAAGTGGACCCCAGAGCTGCTCCCTTTTCTGCCACATTATGCAGAACGGGGTGGAGGAATCTGCTCTTTGGGGTGAGATACAGGGAGACAGGGGAGAAGGTCTGGGCTCTGGGGTACGCATGGTGGCCAGATCGCGTGGAGCTCCGTGACCAATCCCCAGAGAAGAAGCACCCAGCACCCTCCACAGCAGCTCACTCAGACATGACTTCCCTCCCAGCTAGTAATCCAATCAGCTGGCCCTGGTTTCCCTGGGGTTTTCCCTCCCTCAGGAGATCAAAGTCTAGATTGGTGGTTGAACTAAGTTCCTAGGCAGTTTGTGTGTGTGTGTGTGTAGCTCTCTGAGCAACTCTCATTCCCCTTCCACACTCACGAACCCCAGGAAACACTCCCGGGGAGGGGGGGACCCAGACTTCGGAAAGGACTGTGAATAAACCAGACTCAGAAGAAGAGGGGAGAGTAGCACTCAGGAGGGGCGGGGGAGGGGGAGGGGGAGGGGGAGGGGCAGCCCTAGTCTGCACCAGGCAGCTTCTGGCTACCCTTGAATGAGGCACTGGGAACAGGCTGTGTCCTGGGCTCCCAACTGAGCAAATCCAGCCTTAGAGGCAGTGTGTCTGTCTCTTGGATGCCGGAAAGGGGAGGTGGACCGGCAAGGGTGAAGAATGGAGACGTGGGTAGCAAGGAGCTTGGGCTGGATGGGACCTAAGCTCGCCCCAGGGCCCACTGTCCCCCAGAGTCTCTCTAGCTCCCACCTCGGGCACCCCAGTGACTATCCCACAGACTGCCCACTCTGAGATCAGTCCCTTGCTCATCCAGGTTCTAAGCAAGGTTAGCCCAGGTTAACCCCTCACCTGTCCCCTCTGGTCTCAGCAGCTCCTGGCCTGTCCTGGAACTCTGCTGTCCGGGACGGTGGGAACCTGCTTCAGATCTCTGGACCTTTGTTCAGGTTGTCTGTTCTCTTCAGATGGAATCTTCTCTCCATCAGACGCCTACTAAGCCATTAAAACCCAGTCCTACTTTCTCCATTGAGACCCTTCCCTTGATTCACCTCATACAGTGGCTTCTGGGGCCTGGCTGTGGCGCTCTCTAAAAAGATCACACAGAGGTGCTGACTTGGGATATGACCAGTCCTAAGCCCAGAGGTTATTTTCAAAAGATCATGGGAACGCACACAAGGTTGGTGACACAGCCCCTATTACAGGGGTCTTGCTCACTGGCCCAGAAGCCCTGAGATGCACTTGGCTGCACTTCATGGCTGTGTCAGGAACAGTAGCCAGGGTGCGGCCTACAGCCAGTGCCTATAATAGCTGCCCAACTAAATAGAGAGCATCTCCCTGCTTGAGAACAGGGGTGCAAAGCTAGGGCAACTGCAGAGACAGGTGAGTTGCAGATGGATAGAGGGGAAGCTGCGCACAAAAACCCTCCCCGGGACGACTCCACCCTGCCCAGAAACCCAGGTTGTAAAGGAAGCA